CACCGAAAAGAGGCGATGACGCAAAAGGGTAATGCGGGCAGCAGGCATGCCTGAGAAATCAAAGACCACAAGGAACACCTTCGTCACAGTATGGTCGGGGATAAATAAGGTCGCCTGTATGATGTCCCACCTTGGGTGCACGGTAACCCTTCCCCCTCAGGGGGTTTAGGTCCATGATGCCCAGGAAGGGGGCCAGGGCATTTTGCTCAGAAACATCAAAGAAGGTGACGGTGACAGGCAGTGTAGCGTGCTGAGGGCAGTAGGACCCACTAGCTCCAGTTTCTCCGGCAAAGCCCTCAGTGGGGCCAGATAGTACAAAACATCCTCAAAGCAATGATTCTTCCAAGTTGCCCATCAGGGTACAGCTGAGGGCGAGGGTAGGAACAGGGCAGGCACTGGTAGGGCTCAGCAGGTCTGGGCGCTTGCAGAGGCTTTGAAGGAAGCTCAGCTTCAGGCCACGGGCACCTTTCAGTCGCTGCCCCCTAGGGCTGCTGTCTGTTGGGTCCAGCACGGGCTCCTTGGGCCAGGGAGCAGGTGGCCCCAGAGGCTGTGGCTTTGACATCAGAACTGTGGGCAGCAGAAGGGTGACCCAGGGTTCTCCGGCACCTCTGAGGGGCTGGCCCCTCTTCCTCAGAGCTGACATCCAGGGCTTCTCTGGCAGGAAGCAGCCTTGGTGGGGCAGGGGCCTGGAGGCCCAGGGCCAGAGGGTATGTGCTCAGGACTGAGCCCACTGGCAGTGCCAGGGGACTCCCTGGGCCAGGGGCTGTCCCCGTGGCTCACCCCAGCCACTGGGCTCTTACCCGCTATTCGCGTAAGACTATGCAAATCAATGTCAAGTGTGTGCAGCTGGCTTGGAGGAACTCACCCTGGGGACTTTCCCAGGGGCCTCTGTCCCCCTGGATCTGGAGAATCCTAGTATCTGGTGTGCTAAGTATTACAGGAAGCATTTGATGGGGCCCAGGGGGCACTCTGGACCCTTGAAGTCCAAGGTGAGGTGTGTTCTCTAACACATAGGCTGTGATGGCAGCAATGCTGGCTGGACACACCCAGCCCCAGCCCCAGCCCCAGCCCCTCTGGGCCTAATACCCCACAGTACATGGTTCTTCAGGGGGTCGTCCCTTCCTGGCCCCCAGCCCAGAGACCTTCTTCGGTTCCCAGGAACCCTCAGTAAGCGACCATTTCAGGGCCCTGTGAGGGTTAGAGGCACCAGCTGGAGAGGAAAAGATGTGGTTACCGGGTAGACCCCAGGGGATGTGGCCCCTCCTCCTGGGCTGTAGCCCACAAGCTGGCCACCCTGGTGAGCAAGCTCCCTGACTGCAACCTGCGAAGGGCCAGCCTCTGGCACTGAGGGTGGAGATGGCTCTGCCTGCATGTGGCACGTGAAGTCCCTTCTTGGTGGGGGTGGGGGCTCCCCTCACGGCCTTTATCCTGGGTCTTTATCCCAATGAAGGGGCTGTAAGCCTAGCTGAGTGTTCCCTCTTCCTGACTGATTCCGTGCTCTCCTAGCTTGGAGTCTGGTCCGTGCACACTGCACTGGCAAGGTGACTGCCACCATTCCGTGCAGCCGCTGGCCTCTGTCGGACCCCCACTCCCAACTGGCTCTGCCATGGTGGTCGCTGCTCTGGGCCCCTCCATCCTCTCAAATCCCCAGTCCTCCACGACATGGACCCCCAACCCAGACAAAGGTGAACCTTTTACATTTTATGTCCGCTTGCTAGTTGTTTTTTCCAGAGCCTAAACAGCTATCAAAAAAATTCTAGGCTAGCCCTGGCTGGTGTGGCTCAGTGGATTGAGCACCAGCCTCTGAACTGAGAGATTGCCGGCTGGATTCCCAGTCAGGGTGCATGCCTGAGTTTTGGGTCGGGTCTCTGGTTGGAGGAGAACAAGAGGCAACCAACTGATGTATCTCTCACACATCTATGTTTCTCTTCCTCTCTCCCTTCCCCTCTCTCTAAAAATAAATAAATCAAATCTAGAAAATATACTTTGGGCTATACCTTTGCATAGTGATTAAAGAGTAATTAACTGAATGACGGTAACCTGATTGCTCACTTGGTCCTACTCCCCTCTATCCCATTTATTAGCACTGAAACACGTGCCATTTGTTTGCTTCTCTCCATGCACCTGCCTCCTACCTGAGCACGCTGCTGACCCCTCTACAATGTATTCCTCACACAGCAGCCAGAGTGACCTCTTTTAAATCTGAATCCAATAATGCCAGACTTCTGCTTAAAACCCTCTGACGACTTCCTGTTCTTACAAGAATCAGTTTAGAACTCCCTTTGAATAGCCTGCTTTCTGTTCTTAGGAGTTCTTTAGCTTTGCTTTTATTGTTGAGACCAGAACCACAGGCAGGATTCTGGGGATGATTCGTGGTCTAGTTTTATTTATTTACAAAACTCTATCCTCCCTAGAATCAGTATTTTGTTGGCTATCTTTACCACAGTACATCATTTTGGATGATGTCATCACTGCCTTCTCGTGGACATTAAAGTCATCTGCTGTTTTTGTTATTAACCTCACCTGTGGTGCGTGTCATTAATATTACCTGTGGACATTAAACTCATCTGCTGTTTTGTCATTTAACATCACCCGTGATGTCAAAGGGGAAAGGGCAAACCAAATAAATAAAACCCCAAGGAATTCCCGAAACTTCTTCCATTGTTCTGTTACAAGGAAGAGTACCATTTGTATAACACTTTATAATTTACAAGAACCTTTATACTTCATGATACGTCAAAACAAATCTCAGAGGCAATCAGGATCAGACCCACTTTACAGATAAAGGTAATGTTAGAAATGCGTGGGAAACCAGGCGATCGGATCCAGGTGCCTTTATTTGACGCTGCGCTTACAGGCAGGCTGAGTCTGGACCGACTGCAGCCCTGGGAGAAGGCAAGAGTGGGGTTTTTAAAAGAAAAAGTGGCTACACGGCTTGTTGGGGGGATGGGGAGGGATTAGTGTCTTGTTCTCCTGGGTTTCAGGGTTTCAGGATGTGAGCTGGGACAGTGGGTCAGGTAAAGGGCCAGGCTGTTCCCCGGTACAGGAGGGTCCGTCTGACCACCAGCCATTGTGGCTAGCGCCAGATGTCTACTGTGCGAGGTGGGTGTTTTGATGAAGCCTCAGGCTATCGACTGAGTACAGATAACTGAGTCACGAGCAGTCCGGCGGGTTGGAGAACTGGCCGGACTGGGTCATGAGCAATCTGGTGGGTTGGGAAACTGGCCTGACTCTTTCAGGTAATTTAGATAAGAGCCGTAGTATGGGATTACATTTCTTGGATGTGAATCCTCTGCATTTCACATTATATTATACTGCTTTCCACCACAACTAATCAGGGACTTGGGTTGTTGTGTTTTTCCCCCTCAAAACCATTTCCTTTGCACCAGTTCCCTTTAGAATAGAAGGCTTTCTGCTTTTACTTTCCTTCCCGTAGCGTCAGGAAATCACAAATCCACTATGCTATAGGGTTGGCCAAAAAGTTCATTTGTTTTGTTTCCTGTTAAGATGTCTTCAGTAATGCTTAGTTGTCTTTAACTTCACTTGAAACAATTTTGTTAGGTTGTATTGTGACAGCTGTTATACCAGCAAGCGTTTTAAAAAGAACTTATCACACTTGGTGAATTTTTGTATAGTCATTTATGCTTTCTTATTTCAAGAAAGGTAAAAATGCAACTGGAACACAAGAAAAGATTTGTGCAGTGTATGGACAAGGTGCTGAGATGTACTGAATGTGTCAATAGTGCCTTGCTAAGTTTTGTGCTGGAGATGGCTCAGTGGGTAGACCAGCTGAAGTTGATAGAGATCAAACTGAGACATTGAGGACAATCAATGTTATGCCACATCACACTCAAAATAGCCAAATCAATGAAGTTATTGGTGAAAATGAAAATGTGCCTTTTATGGGAAAAACTAAATTTGATTTTTTCGGCCCACCTGATATTTCTAGTTCGGGAGTTCTTCTCAAGTGTGAAGTAGGACCAAGGTTGTAAATACAACCTACTCACTGGTCAGGTCTGTATTTGTGACACAGAAAAGCTTCATTGTCTTACCCCGTGTAAAAAACCACTGGTGTCTACTGGGTGTGTTGGAGATGCCAGAGGAAGTGGCTGTGAACAAACAATGCCAAATTAAGTAACTTGAACTTTAGCTCCTTCCAGTTCTTATCTCTTTTGTTGATGCTCTTCGGATGAGCTCAAGACACAAAAATTCCTTCTAACAGGTGACTTTTGTTTTATGGCTGTCATGGGACACACTCTCAAGAGCCCCTCACTCTCTCAGCTGCTGCGCCTCCCTAGTTTCTTCTTCACGGACTCTTCCAGGATTCTGCCATCTTTTGTGGGCACGTTGGTCCACCGGAAGGTCGGCATGGGGGTTGGGGAGGGTTCCCAAACTTCCAAGCCTTTCTCACTTAGTGCCTTGGGTCACTGGTGTACTTGTCTCTGGTTGTCCCTGAACTACTTCGGCCTCTCTCAGCTCACTCTTGTTCTCCTGACCTTATCGCAAGCTTTTCAGTTCAGTCTACATTTGCTGCCTCTGCGGCAAGCAGCAGGCCCTGTGCTTCCTCGTGTTTAACCGTCCATTCTGAGACCTCAATTTCAGAGGCTTCAAAGCTCCCCTCCACCTTCTCATCACGGACACTGCGGCTTTACCTTCCTCTCCAAAACCTGGCCCGCCGACGTCCTGCTCCTGCTAACCTAGCACGCGGAGACCAACCCCAAAGGGGCTCGAAGCCCGCGCATGCGCACTCCGAGTTCGCCGCCCAGCCTCTCGGCCGCCTCCCTCCCGCCGCCTGCTCCGGGCGGTTTGAAGGTTCCTGACAGCTCCGCTGCGGGCCGGATGCAGTCTCGTCCCGTGCTTCCACGTTATCCTATCAGAGGCGGGGCGGGGCGATGGGCCCCGCAGCCTATCAGCGCGAACCACGATCCTGACGAGCCCAGTGGAAGGGCGCCCGAGAAGAAGGCGACTGGACGGTGGCGGCGCCTGGGCGTAGCCTGGCCCGGGCCCCGCCCACCGCTGCCTTCCTCCGGTGGGCGCCAGCTGCCGCGGAGGCCTGAGCGAGCGCTGACTTCGGCGGGCGCATCTGCGGTGTGAGCGCCGGCGGGGGCTGGTGGGCCCGCTCTCTTGTTTTTCTCGCCGTTCTGCGCCCTCGGACATGGTGGCCCCTAGCTGTGTGATCAGCCGCCTGGGCTCGGTGTTCCCCTTCTTGCTCGTCCTGGTGGACTTGCAGTACGAAGGTAAGTCCTGCTCTGCCCCGGAGAGAGGAGTGGGCTCCGGGGTCAGGTCCCCTGTCACTTCCCCGCCAGCGCCCGAGCGCGAGTCTCCGGGTGGCCCGGGCAGTGGGCGAGAGCCGGGACTGCGCGGCTCCGCATGGGCCTGAGCCCGCCCCGGGGTGGGCCGGTCCCCGGTTCCGGGTTTGTTTGGGGAAGAAGTGCCGGACCGCCGGGCGCGGTGCCAGAAAAGGGGACTTGGCGTGTGGAGCCGCTCCGAAGGGGAGAGTAGGGAACGGGCCGGCGACTTCTGGGGCGTCCCGGGACACGGGCGACTTGAGCAGCAGTCGTGTTCGGCCTCGCTTGGGACCCTGGCTTGGCGACTGGGGACACCGTCGGTCAGTGGTGCTGGGAGGAGGCGGTAGAGGCAGCCAAAGTGGAGGCTTCTTTCGCTCTGGAGTTGTGCGGGTGGTGGGAGAAGTATGTCCCGCTGAGTGACAGGGACAGTGTTGACTGTTAAAAGTGAGTTTTCCATCCCATTATCATACTGTGTCTTGTAGAGATGTTGTCAGGTTGGTGCGTTTAGGAGCGGGTGCTGGAATGATGCCCCCGGAGGGGGAGTGATGCTCCCGGAGGGCAAGGCACAAAGTTTGTGGTTTTACAACTCCTGGCGCGATGTCGTTCAGTTTAGGCTGGCTTTCCTTTTACGAGTTTTCTGGAGTGGGGGTGGAGGTGGGGGGAAAAGTCCCCTTAAGAAGATAAGAACATTTGCATTTCGCTTAAGGCACACAGGTTGGATTGTTTGCTACTGTAACAGAATAGCAAAAATAGAGGGCTGTCCCCTCCCTACTAGATATCAGCCGAGTAAGAATTAAAGCTGAAAGCGCCAAAGGAACTAATGCTCCTAGCTTGGTTACTGTGAGAAATAGTGGAGTATAATGACATACCAGATAAAGACACTGATCTATTTTCATTCTCATGCAAAGGGCTAGTAGTTAAGGAGGTAAAACGAAACATTTTAATATGAGACAATCAATATTAGACAAGACGGAGTGAGGAGCTGAAGCTGGGAGTTGTTTCTGGTAAAATACCCTTCTAAACTTAAAAAAAAAAAAGGAATACTTCCCAGTGTTTAGGTTTCGTGCATGGCAGTGGTTTTCTTATTTTTATTATTTTGGCTCTCCCAGTGACTATATATTTCTTTGAACCAAAAATCAGACCATGTATCAGGACAACATTGGGACAGAGAACTTGACATTGAGGCTGCCCCAGAAAACCCACGGAATTTGAATTTGAATGCCAGGACCGCATTAATATGGGTCATGTGGTCCAGTTCTCTTGCATTCTCTACCTACTGCTAACCCCCATCTTCCTCAAATGTAGCATTTATGTCGTTACCATTTATGATTTATTTTGACCACTTAAGAGAAAGTTGTCTACATTCTGTTTAATGCCAGTCATTTTAAGTTGCAAAAGGTGCACACTTTTGTATGATTTGCTTTTCCCACTAGCGTTTGGATTACCTTTTTAGAATTACTGTTCTGTATATGATTCTGTAAGATGCGCTAACACTTCATTTCCATCCTGTGATATTTTCCATAAGAAAAAACCTCAGTGGAGTGTTTTTCTGTATAGGAGGCATTGGTGAGTGACATTTGTCAAACAAGTGCCAGAGTACTGCCTTTATAAAGTAGCAGGACTTGGTACAGGTGGTAGGGAAGAAAGGAAAAGGATCTTAAATTTATTGAAGGTCTGCTGTGTGCCAGCCACCTTTCTGTAAGCGATCTCTTTGATTTATGGAGCTATGTGACATCATTCCCACTTTACAGATGAAGAAACTGAGGATCCGAGTTTAATGAACATGCGTAAGTCACATAGCTGTTAACTCCAGAATCCTTAAGTTGAATTCAAGTTATTTGACTCTAAAGTTTTTCTGTGTACAGGCTGGAGATAGAAGTTAATGGTGGACAGCATCATGTGGGCCCCATTATTTGTAAGTAGTGACAGCTGAGAAAAATCAGATTTTTTTGCTTGTTTACTGCCAGCAGTAATGAACAAGAAGGTGATTTCCCAGGATATTTGATACAGCGGATCTCAACCTTGAGTGTGCCTGAGGTTCTCACCCTGGGTGGCTTTTAAAAACAGAGTTCAGGTCCCCACTCCCAGAGTTTCTGATTCAGTAGGTCTAGGTGTGCCAAAATTCTGCATTTAAAAAAAAAATCACTGATGAGAATAACTGGTATAATAAGTTATATAAGAGGAGTTAAGTTAGGTGTCTGCTGTGTACTAGACACCAAGTTTGGCGATGGGACCCTAAAGTTAAGAACCTCAGACTTAGATTAGCAAACTTTTAGCTCCTGTTTTTCCCAAATATGAAATTCTGTGTCAGGGGTCAGTAACCTCCGAGTCCTTTGGAGACATTCAGATCTGCATGATTCCACTCCTCTGACTGAGGCTTGGAGGGGGGAAATAAGGGAGAATGGGTGTAAGAAGAGTGAATGTGAAACAAAGAGTTGCATAGGATGCAGAGTGTCATCACTAATTAGCTTAGTTGACTGAGTTTATTCTGATTTAAAAATATTCATCTTGGTTTCCTCCCCCTACGCTTTTTTGGTTAGTCGTAACCTGGAGAAAAAATATGTAATTTTTTACAAATTGAAACTTTTAGCACCCTCTTTCAAAAGACCTTTGAAAAGGGGAAGTCCAAAGCACTAGATTAGGGATAGAATTTTTAGAGCAGAAAGAAAACTTGAGCAGAATCTACTGTGGTATTCTCATGTTACAGATAAGGAAGCTATTTTAATTCTTTGCTAATGGTTTGCTAATGGGTTGTTCTATTTGGTGACTTGAGTAGGAACACTGCCTAGGGACCAAACGTCCTTTTCTCCCTTTTTCTTCCTCAACATGCTACCTGAACCCAGTTTTTCTTTATTTCACCGAACCGACCTGACTAAGCCATGTATTGGCCATGATGAAAAGAACCATTTACAGTGTGTAAGTATAGATTTCAGGGTGGCAGCGGAGTAGGTGGAAGCTACGTTCACCTCCTCCCAGGATCAAACTGGAATTATAACTAAGTTAAAGCACACTCATCCTGAGTACCCAACTGAAGACTAGCTGGAGAGAAGGTTTATAACCAGGGATTTACAGAAGAAACCAAATGGAGACTGGTAGGAAGAGTGGAGACATGAAAAGAGCTGGCTGTCCTATCAGGGGCGGAGGCTGAGATTCCGGAGGAGGAATCTCAGGAAACTGCAGGGTGGTCCCCCCAGGAAGTGTGGGGCCTAAACCCCAAGTTGGGCTCCTCAGCCCAGAGCACCAGAGCCGGAAAGAAGTGCCCACAGAACATCTGGCTGTGAAAATCAGCAGGGGTTTCTGTCTGTCAAGGACAGATGCAGCCTGCTGGAGACACAGGCACCCTCTTAGTCTCCCAAAACTGAATCACAAAGAATCAGACAATCTGAATAGACCAGTTACAGCTAATGAAATGGAAGTAGTAATCAAAAAAACTCCCAACAATGAAAAGTTCTGGACCAGATGGCTTCACAGGCAAATGCTACCACCAATCATTCAAAGAAGAACTAATACCTATCTATCCTTCTCAAACTATTCCAAAAAATTCAAGAGTAGGGAAGAATCCCAAACTCATGAGTCCAGCATTATCTTAATTGTGAAGCCAGATAAAGACACTACAAAGAAAAAATTATAGGCCAATATCCTATAATGATGAACATTTAGATGCTAAAATCCTTAACAATATTAGCAAACAGTATTCAGCAATACGTTAAAAAGGCCATACACCATGATCAAGTGGGATTTATTATGGAAATCAAGGTTGGTATGACATCCACAAATCAATAAACATGATACACCACAAAAACCACGTGATCATATCAATAGATTCAGAAAAATCGTTTGATAAAATCCAGCACCCATTTATGATAAAAACTCTCAGCAAAGTGGGAATAGAGGGAACATACCTCAACATAGTAAAGGCCATGTATGACAAGCTCACAGCCAGTGTCGTACTCAGTGCACAAACACTCCAAGTGCTTCCCTTGAGATCAGGAACGTGGCAGGGATGTCAGCTTTCACCGCTCTCATTCACCGTAGTACTGGAAGTCCTCGCCACAGCAATCAGACATGAAGAGTAGATTAGAGGCATCCAAGTTGGAAAGGGAGAAGCAAAGCTGTCTTTGTTTGCAGATGACGTGATAACTGTATAGAGAGAAGCCTCAGGATTCCACCAAAAGACTGCTAGAACTGAGGTGCTCTCTGGTGAGGTATGCACAGCACAGAACTCACGGTTTTTGTTGTTGAGGTCACAGACTACTGGGTGGGTATAAGACATGCTTTGTGAAGCATCCATGTCCTCTCCTTTCTCAGTGTATATGTGTAGTGCAGCTTTTCCTTGATAAACACCTTTTAATTTCCTTGCCTCTGTATCTCTTTTTTTAATCACGTGGCAACATTTAACACTGATTACATCCAACTTGGCCACCAACTTGTTTGTTGTACTTCAGAGCTGAACATGTGTGGAGAAAAACGGAGATAAGTTCGCTGACTGGTCTCATTTTAAGCATATAATCTCAATTTCAAATGTACACTAAATGCTGCCAACATTCCTACAGTTTCTTTGTATGTTCATCTGGAATATCAATATTTCATACCTTTTCCTCTTCGCTTGAATCTCCACTTTAAACTCCCCTATTCCTCACTTCTTTCACCCCATTCTTTTAGACCTTGTCTTGATTGAGAAAGTTCACTAGCCTGCCTGTATCTGTAGCTACTTACATTAAAATGGATAAAGCATCTCTCTTCTTGGCAAAATCCAGTTTCTATGCTGATTTCATTGAGGATTTCATTTCCCCGGATTTCATTGCTTCTCATCTTCTAAAACTGTTGCTCCTACAGTTACTGTTTCTCCCCTGTGTCCTCACTTGCGTCCTCTGGGTGGGATCATTTACGTTAGCACTCCCACGTGCTGTACTGTGTCCATCCTGAACTGTTCTTTGATGTCACGTGTC